CCAGCTGAGGTTGTCATTCATGTGTACACCCAAGTACTTGTAGCTGGAGACCACTTCCACTGCAGATCCTCTTATGTTCTGGGGGGTATAGGTGTGTTTGTTCCTTCTGAAGTCCACAGTCATCTCTTTTGTCTTCTTCACATTGATGTGAAGGCTATTCTCTTTGCACAAGCACTCCAGGTGTTCCACCTCCTGCCTGTAGCTGGACTCATCATTGTTTGTGATGCATCCCACCACGGCTGTGTTATCTGCAAACTTTCCAATATGACAGCCTGGACGGGTAGCTGCACAATCATACGTGAGCAGAGTAAACAGGAGAGGGCTCAACACACATCCCTGAGGAGAGCCAGTGCTGAGGGTTATTGTGGAGGAGGAGAAGTTGTGGATCCTTACTAACTGTGGTCTGTTTGTTAAGAAGTCTAGTACCCGGTTGCAAATGGAGAGGCTTAGTCCTAGTGTGAATAGTTTGTCCATCAGGGTTTGGGGGATCATGGTGTTGAAGGCGGATGTGAAGTCCACAAAGAACATAAGAGTATTTCTGCTTTAGGTGGTTGAGCGCAGTGTGGACCACAGAGGAGATGGCATCCTCTGTTGATCGGTTCTCACGGTATGCATACTGATGAAGGTCCTCGGTGATATTGATGATTGTTTTGATGTGGGTCATGACCAGTTTTTCGAAGCACTTAGCGACTATTGGGGTGAGGGCCACTGGCCGATAGTCATTCAGACCAGTCACTGTAGAGCTTTTTGGGACTGGGATAATGGTGGCAGTCTTCAGGCAGATGGGAACTGTCTCCAGGGTAAGTGAGGTGTTTTGAGTATCTTGAAATAAGATAGAAAGGCGCTATTTAAGTACAGTCCATTTACCATTTACCATTTGAAGATGTCTGCCAGCACCTCACAGAGCTGATCGGCACATTCTTTCAACACTTTTCCGGGGATGTTGTCTGGGCCGGTTGCCTTGTGCGGATTAATCCTCCTGAAAGTACTCCTTACTTCAGCTGAGGTCACGCTGAGATGCTCTTCATCCAGTGGTGAGGTGAGTCCGGTGCTGGGAGGTCTGTTTGGGTCTTCAAAGTATGCGTAGAACTTGTTGAGGGCATCAGGAAGAGATGGGTCTTTGGGGCATTGTTCACTCCTTCCTTTATAATCTGTTATGCACTTAATGCCCCTCCACATGCTCCGAGGGTCTTGTGAGGTGAATTGATCCTCAATCCTCTTTGCATATATTTATTTATTTATTTATTTATGTTAAGGCGTTTTAAACCCTTCCCACACTCTTGCAATATTCTAAACAATGTTTCTAAACTCTAAAGCTCTAAAAGAGCACAGAATGTCATGATTTCAGCTCTGTGCCTTTGCTGCTCAGTGCCACCTGCAAGCAGTCTCGGCCATGCCGACTTCTCTGCGCTGCATGGTGAACAGCTGATCAGCTGCAGCAGGAAACTTATCCTGCAGTGTGGGCTGCACAGAGGTGCAGCAGGTGCTAAATAATTTTAATGAATTTATTTGAAATAAATATTCCATGCCGATCATGTGACTCATCCATCAGCCAATTGTGTGACATGACCATTCTTATTTTGAAAACCGCGATAGAGCGAGTCCAAGGGACTACTGTAAATATATATATGTATATATACTATATACATATATATATATATATATATATATACATACATATATATATACATATACAGACCCTTTCAAAAAAATTAGAATATCATGGAAAATTTGTTTAACTTTCATAATTCCATTCAAAAAGTTAATCTTTAATAGTTGATAAATTCAGGGACTACAATTTAAACTATTTCAAGTATTTATTTGTTTATTTTTACATAATTTGGGCTTCCAGCTCATGAAACCCATGGAAACAGGATTTCAAAAAATTAGAATACTGTGGAGAAATCAGCCCAGATTTTGCAGGGCATGAATGTTTTAAACTGAGTGTGACACATTAATCATCTACTAAACTCAAAGCACTTGCACAGATTTCCCCAGGTGTCATTAAAATGCTTCAGTTTGGTTCAATTGTCTCAGTTGGTCGCGAGATATATTTCAGGGAGGGAGGCAAGGTGGAGTGCGAAATTCAAACTTGGACGGACAAACTTTTGACGGAAAATTGTGGATTTTGGAGTGGACGGTTGGCATAAGCTGGAATGTGACTGGGTCAGAATGGCAAACCAGGTAGGAGATAACAAGGAGAACATGATGTTCTCCTTGTTTCTCAAGTTTAAGAGGGAGGAAAACCAAGGATACTTAAGCCCAATTATAATATCTAAAGAAATAAAAAAGAAATAAAAAAGAAAATAGGAGAGGTAGAAATGGTGAAGGTGTTGAGGGATGGAAACTTACTGATAATCTGCAAAACTGAAGAACAAAAAACAAAGCATTACAAGATGATAATATCTGCAAAAAGGTGGTGAAAGAGAAACATGATGTTGGAGAAAATAAAGTACTGAAGGGAGTGATTACAGGAATACCAGTGGAGGAGGATTTGGATAAATTAAAACGAAACATTGTCGGAGTAAAGGTGAACAGTTTAAAGAGACTAATGAGAACAGTTGATGGAGAAAGAGTGGGAAGCATGTCTATTTTAATAGAGTTCTTTGAAACAATAATGCCAAATAAAACAAAAATAGGATTTATGAGTTTTCCGGTCAGGCCTTTTATCCCCCCACCATTCAGATGCTACAAATGTCAGAGGTATGGACACATGGCAGCGGTGTGTAAAGGCAAGCAGAGGTGTCCTAAATGCAGAGAGGAGCACAGGATAGAAGAATGCAGAGAGGACAAACAAGAAAAGTGCTGCAACTGTGGGGGTCAACATAGAGCTAACTCTGGAAAATGTGAGGTGAGAAAGAGAGCGGTAGAAATATAACAAATCAAAATGACTAAAAATATTAGCTATGCTGAAGCAGTCAGGAGTGTTCAGGGACAAAAAAAAAGAGAAGCAGACCAGTCAGAGAATCAAGTTCCACAACAAACCAAACTGCAAATGGAGGAAAACATCACACTGTCAGTAGAAAAACTCATTTTATTCATAGCATATGTCATCAACTGCACAGATCAGGCTAAACACAGAACAGAGAAAATTAAAATAATAGCAAGGGGGGCAGAAAAGTTTCTGGGATTCAAAGAGGCGTCTTGGAAAAACATAAACAAAGGGCTGGAAATAGATGGGAGACCGGTAACACTGGGCGATAAACCCAGATGTTAATACTACAATGGAATGCCAGAAGTCATTGCAAATGGACAATAATTTAAGGGATATATTAAAAAATTAGAAGAAAAAACAGAAATAATATGTATACAGGAAACATGGTTAAAAGCAACATTAGAATTCGTAATTAAAGGGTATGATAGCATCAGAAGGGATCGGCAAGAGGGAAATGGAGGAGGGTGTGAAATATTTATAAAACAAGGAACACAATATCAAATATTACGAAAAGGAGTAGATTTAGAATATACAGGTCCTTCTCAAAAAATTAGCATATTGTGAAAAAGGTCATTATTTTCCATAATGTAATGATAAAAATTAAACTTTCATATATTTCAGATTCATTGCACACCAACTGAAATATTTCAGGTCTTTAATTGTTTTAATACTGATGATTATGGCATACAGCTCATGAAAACCCAAAATGCATGCCCCAAAAAATTAGCATATTATGAAAAGGTTCTCTAAACAAGCTATTAACCTAACCATGTGAATCAACTACGTAACTCTAAACACCTGCAAAAGATTCCTGAGGCTTTTAAAAACTCCCAGCCTTGTTCATTACTCAAAACCGCAATCATGGGTAAGACTGCCGACCTGACTGCTGTCCAGAAGGCCATCATTGACACCCTCAAGCAAGAGGGTAAGACACAGAAAGAAATTGCTGAACGAATAGGCTATTCCCAGAGTGCTGTATCAAGGCACCTCAGTGGGAAGTCTGTGGGAAGGGAAAAGTGTGGCAGAAAACGCTGCACAACGAGAAGAGGTGACCGGACACTGAGGAGGATTGTGAAGAAGGGCCGATTCCAGACCTTGGGGGACCTGCGGAAGCAGTGGACTGAGTCTGGAGTAGAAACATCCAGAGCCACCGTGCACAGGCGTGTGCAGGAAATGGGCTACAGGTGTCGCATTCCCCAGGTCAAGCCACTCTTGAACAAGAGACTGCGTCAGAAGCATCTCGCCTGGGACTGCTGCTGAGTGGTCCAAAGTTATGTTCTCTGATTACAGTAAATTTTGCATTTCCTTTGGAAATCAAGGTCCCAGAGTCTGGAGGAAGAGAGGAGACACATAATTCACATTGCTTGAGGTCCAGTGTCAAGTTTCCACAGTCACTGGGGTGTCATGTCATCTGCTGGTGTTGGTCCACTGTGTTTTATCAAGCGCAGGGTCAATGCAGCTAGCAATCAGGAGATTTTGGAGCACTTCATGCTTCCATCTGCTGAAAAGCTTTATGGAGATGAAGATTTCATTTTTCAGCATGACCTGGCACCTGCTCACAGTGCCAAAACCACTGGTAAATGGTTTACTGACCATGGTATTACTGTGTTCAATTGGCCTGCCAACTCTCCTGACCTGAACCCCATAGAGAACCTGTGGGTTATTGTGAAGAGAAAGTTGAGAGGCGCAAGACCCAACACTCTGGATGAGCTTAAGGCCGCTATCGAAGCATCCTTGGCCTCCATAACACCCCAGCTGTGCCACAGGCTGAT